GTTTCAGCATTTCAGAGTGGAGTCTGGATCTATCCAGTGGTTCAGTGCACTGTGGAAGAACTTCTGGGTGCCTCCAGTAGTTGAACATCTGGGTCAGATGGCAGGAAATGCTAGCAGACAAGCCAGCTTCCCAGAGTAGCTTCTGTGCTCCATTCTCTTGGCTACAACAATTCTCTAAAACTTTAACTCTGCTCCTCTGGTCACATTCTTTATGACACATCACCATATCTCTGTGTTCAGGGTCAAAAAACTGAGACAAAGAATTTTTCATGCAGAGTTTCTGCCCTGACACTAGAGCCCCCTTTATTCTACCCCTGCCACGTTCCCCTAGAGATGAGTAAAGATGAAATACTGCTTTTGATGCCTGGCAGAGAATTCAAAGTGATGGACCTTCTCCGCAAACGTAAGCAAAAGTGAAAATTGACCTTCTGTAAAAATGGCATCTAACTGACAGCTAGTATGCATTTTTGGAAAGAAGGTACATAGTCTTAGTAATTTGATATGATTGTCAATTCAACCACAGAAAATTAAATAAAATATATATGAAATTCACTTCCTTTTTTTCAGCTAGTATATTCCACTAAAATGGAGTGTTTCTCACCGAGGACACTTAGCTAGGCTTGGAACATCTGTTCTTCATCATATGTAACTTCTAGAGAACTTGCCTAGCTCTCTGATTTCTGATGTTGCAGACTAAGTTATGGGCTGGCCTTTACCTAATCAGTGTTTCCCTTAGCTGTGTAATTATGTGAATTCAAAGCTAGGTCTCCGTTGTCTGTTTAGCTTTCTATTGCACGTGGATGGAAAGAGAAAATTTACATGGAAAAAAGTTCCACATATAGTTCAATTCTTCTATTTTTGTTGTCAGGGCATACAATTTTTTTCTGTAAATTATAGCTCTCCAGAATGATGTGACTACACATGTATTAGAATCAGATCATTTTGTCTATCCAGATGATATAGTTTTAAGTGTTTTGTCTAGGTCAGTTTATTTCCAGTTTGTAGGAACATCTAACTATCCCTTACGGAGGGTTTGAGTTATTGCATTCAGAGGTTTGTTTACTTGGAGACTCAGGATATGTGTGCCTTAAAGATGATAAACTGTCTCAGTTATTTTTAGAATATGTAGAAATTGTCATCTCCAAATTACTTTCATGTGATGCAATTTTCCACCCTCATATTAAACAGTGTTTGATTGTATTCACAAAAGGCCCCATTAGGTGGTGAGCAAGAGAAGTAAAACATATTCTAGGGACTAAAATGATCTTCCAAGATATCTTCCTTTTTCCAGGATAAGAACTATGTACCACAAATGGATGTGAATTTACTTGGAGTGTCATGAGGGTTACTACTATTTCAACCAAGTAAGGTTTTGGAATTCAGGAGAGGTCTCAACAGAGTGATCTACTTAGGAAGGAGCTCTGATGTATTTCCCTTTATTATCACAGACATTTGGCTGCAGGAATGTTGGGCAGAATCATCTTAGTTATTTTAGAAATGTCATTGATCACTTCTGGCTATGTGGATTAAGATGTTCCAAGTCATTTCTCCAATTCCTCTTTGTCTTAAATTCCTGCTGGGTTCGCAGTAGTAACCTTGAGGAAAGAGTGCTAAAGTCAAGTGGCAAAACCTTACTCAGGGATTCTGAGGTTTCAGACATAAAGCTACTCTGTTATCTCCCTTTCCTTCCTATTTCTTTTACTCTTGCTGGCTGTTGTAGCCAAACAGATGTTTCAGCAAACATTGAGCAGACACACACACACACACACACACACACACACACACACACACACACACA